AAAATCATGAACTTGTTTTTCAGCTTCCCCCATAAAACAATGGGAATCAAATAGATCTCGTAACAAGCTTTGTCGGTTTTTGATGTGAATAAAAGTAACGTTTACTCATAGACTGAATCGATTTGCTGAATTCCATATATATCTGGCTCATAACAAAGTTCAACAGGTTCTCCTCCCAAGGATCTAAATATAATGCAAGCTCTTTTTCGTCTGTTATTTGAAGCGTTCAATCTCTTGTTCTTTGATTTTTTTCTCTGCTCCTTTCTCTTTCTGGCTTCAGAATTTTTAGATTTTTAGCCAGTGTGGTAAGCACCCCGATACTTTGCAAATGCTTCGTCTAAATCGTCAATCAAGCGATCAACATCCTTCTCAATACTAGATGTTATACATAATAACGTTTGTCATTACTGAGGCTGTGATGGCAGCTCAGTCCAGTTTTGAGTTTACCAGTGTTTTCAGAGAAGAGGCTGTCGTCGTGTTTTGATATCTTATCTTTGATGGCTTGAAGCTTAAGCTTGATTTCATTTGCCTCATTTTTATATCTAGTGATATTACTGTCATCATGTGGGTTTGGCTTGTAGTCATCACAGAGAAATCTACCGACACAGGCTGGATTGTCGGACAGTAGATAACTGAAACCTATTTTCCAGCTGCTCAATGTCCACTGTAATGTTTTACTGTCTGTCCCTTTCAGCAATCAACATTCTTTTCATCAACTGAACATTAGATCCAGCCCTTACTTTGAAGCTTTCATAAAAATCTGGCAAAAGCTTATTTCCGAAAAGAGAAATTCTTCTTCTAGCATCAGGGACGAAGCCAAATTTCTTATCTTTCCACTAAGGTCTAGATGAGTAAGGTCGTAATATGCCGTCTCCTACTGCATTTGAGTTCGTCTGCGGAGAAGTATCCTGCACTGCTGCAATGGTGGTGGGAGGGGGGGTGCGACGTTATTTTTAACATAACAGAGGGAGGTTAGAACTATTTTTTTATGTTTTGGAGGGGGGGTACTGTCTAAGTTTTTGCTAGATAACTCTAGTTTTTCAGCCCCCCCCTCCTGATAGTTATTGCACAGTCCCTAAAATGAGAAAATGTTTAAAATTTAATCTTAGGCTATGAATTTTAGCCGCACTTACATTACCAGGACAAGTCAGTCCTTCCAGTGTCTGTAAGTTCAAATTCACGCCAAAACTGGGTAATTAATTATACCTTCTCCTGCCTTCTCTGGTACCTTCTGTCTGCCACTTAAGTACATAATAGTAACGTATTAACTAGGAGAATTAAGAATCATCAAATCTTACAAAGGAAATCCACATTAAATAACCTTGAACTGGAAATTTAAGACGAAAAGTAATGATAAAATTTTAAAATCCTCAATGATCCACAAATGAATGTTCTCTGAGCAAAACTAAGATAATTGTTGTTAAATTTTCCAGTAATATTGAAACGAATTGTGGGATTGTTCTTAACCCGCCAAAGCTGGCGAAGGTTGACTTTATTTTATATAGTGGCGGCAACAAGGTTCGTGAGTCTCAGGTTTCCATTATCGATCATAGAAAAATTGTGAACAATTAAAATTAATCGAAGTCAAAAGAAATACTCTGAGATAGTGTATGCCGAGGTAGTTTAGGTGAGTTCTCGACGTTGCAGATTTTTGAAACTCAAAAGTCAGTGTCTATAATGATTAAATTTTAAAATTGTCAAAATCTGTATATATATAAAAAAAAGTTAAAGATAATCACTAGATACCTTACTTCAGCAAAGATCCAATGTAGCACAGGTAACTTGCTGACGTTCAAAAGCGTCATACCTCCCAATCGCTATCCTTAATTTTCGTTATAATATTTCTATGACGTCATAACACGGACGCTTGCAGACTTTGACACAACCATACATACGTTGTTGACGTGTTTAACGTTACATAACAAACCCCAATGATTACCATTTTTCTGCTTTCCTTGCTTCCCTTGACATACAAATGGGTTGTATGATCAATTTAGGCTAGGGATTACAAAGTTTGTCATAATCAATCAAACATGCTAAGATGATTTAAGGTGTGATAGTTCAGCTGCTTGCAAGGTTTGACGTACCATACACCGTATTCACAAATGGCGGACACGCGGGAAAAAACCGGTGCCTAGTCATGAAAGCGAGGCGTTGGAGGATAAACAAAAATTGCAAATGAAGACTTTCAGTGAACTTTCAGAGTGTTTAGCACGGATTCCACCTAACATAACTTTCTACGGACTTCTTTTTAAATACAATTACGTGGGATGTCTTCTGCTTTTAATGTTTAGAAGCTATTTGCTGTTTGCAATCAAAAGGGACGCGTATATCTTCAGAAAACAGGATGATTTCGTAGGTTTCCGAAGCATCAGAAGCTCGACAAGTGGACGATGGCTGGAGAAAAGCGGCAAACATGTTGACCCAAACTTCACGTTGAAACCGAGTACGAAAGCCAGCTCACTGCAATTCGGTGAAACAGAAATATAAACAAATCTTGGTGGCAAGAAAAAAAGAAATAAGCGACAGATGTATGGCCTACTTGCAACTGTTAACGCAAGAGACGTCTGCCGTTGAACAAAACAGTTCAAGTCGAGATGGAAAAAAGGAAGACAGGAAAGAAGAGGTGACTGAGGTTTCGATGAAGTTATGTTTGGTTTTTGTTTGCCAGGACGTTATTCTCTGGTCTTTATCAATGAAGGACATCAATTAGACAGCGGGGTTGACCTTTTTTTCAAGCGGTTTTTCGGTGATTTATTTTCAATGTGCAGGAGCGATCGAGAGGAGTACGCTCAAAATTTCAACTTGTTACTCGGCAGACTCGGTAAGCCGGCCACATATCATTTCAGCGAGTAATTTCGTATTTCTTACCTTTGGCTGTTAAGAGTTTTAACTTTATGTTCCATAATATTTTAAAGTTGAAGAATACATAAAATAAATAAAATGATGGTCTTCTTAAACTGATCCAGACTCGAATTCAATTATTCGAAACAGAAGCTTGCCGTGCTCAGTCCTGACAAAAACATTGCCTTAAAATTTTAACCTAGTAAATTGTAAGCTTTATACCACTTTTTTACCAAGAGCTCTCTGAGATAATGCCCTAAAAGAAACCAGGCAAATAGCAAGCCATAAGATTCACACACTACAGCTTCTAATTTTGATAAAATTATTTTTAATTATTTCGCAATGACAAAGAAATCATGAGATTTTTGCTAAGCTCTGCCAACGTACCTCTAACAATTCCCTCCAAAGCGACGGAATTAATTTGATCCAATACAGAATTGTAGTGATTTGGCTTTCATATTCGGTTTCAGGGTGAAGTTTGGGCCAAAATGTTTGCCGCTTTTCTCCAGCGATCGCCTACTCTTCGATCTTCTGATGCTTCGGAAACCTACAAAATCATCCTGTTTCCTGAAGATATACGCGTCCCTTTTGATTGCAAACAGCAAATAGCTACTAAACATTAAAAGCAGAAGACATCCCACGTAATTGTATTTAAAAAGAAGTCCGTAAAAAGTTATTTTAGGTGGAATCCGTGCTAAACACTCTGCAAGTTCACTGAAAGTCTTCATTTGCAATTTTTGTTTATCCTCCAACGCCTCGCTTTCATGACTAGGCACCAGTTTTTTCCCGCGTGTCCGCCATTTGTGAATACGGTGTATAAATTTGAAATAACATGTACACGTCCGATTTGTAATAGCCATCACTGGCTAATCCACCAAGGATCACTGTACTAGAGCAAAGTAAAGCTATTGCTTTTGCGTTTCAACAAAATAAGCTAAGCTTGTAAATGACCGTTTTTTAAGTTTTACTGACTAATCCCTGGTTTTTCATTATGTAGAAAACTTGGCCAAAACGGAAAGGTGAGGTACAAAGTAAAGCACAATCAATAGAAACTCTCTCAAAGTATCTAAGTTGTTACAAAAAAGACTCATGTCCCAGACTTGATAAAACCGCCTAACAATAAATGGTTGGCAACATGCAATTTGTAACACTAGGATATTTCCAGGTTGGCGGTTAACAGTGAAGGTTGTTAATTTTGAGTCATGTGAACTCAGATAAGGCTGGATCCCTCGTAAGCGAACAGGGGCACCCAACGAGAATATAATTCAAAACCACTTAAACATAGCATTGTTAAATGTATTTTAGTATTTAAACGGTAGATATGGGCATATTTTTATTCCCTAAAAATGTTTCATCTGTTCGGATTTCCTAGCTGAAAGTCTAGTGATCCGAAAATTATAGAGATCAAAAGTTACCTTTTCGAAAATTTCAGCTAGAAAAAAGGCTCCCGAAAATTCTAGGTGACCTTTAAGAGTAAAAAATCAGTTAAAAATGGGCAATTAAACCATTTTTTAGATGTTGGAAAATCCTAGGAGAGGCAGGCAAGCAAGAAATTTTACAACAAATGTTCCGAAAACTCTAGATCTCAAATCGTCTTCCGAACAGATATTTTCCGAAAATTGTCGTTGGGTGCCCCTGAGCTAAGAGTATTAAACAGACACAAATGCTTGATAAAGCCGGTCTGATGAATGGGAGTCCGTATCATCATCATCATCAAGTGCCATCTACTTGCAGTAGGTCGGCTATCATGGATCTCCAGGATCTTCCGCTCTTCTTACACATATATCCATTATGGGTGTGTCCTAACCATTCTTTGATGTTTTTCATTCAGGTAATTCGTGGTCTCCCCTACCTGTACTCTCTTTCCTTCAATTTTACCTTACAGTAACAATTTTCGGATCGACCTCGCTCTTACGTGTCCAAAATACTGGCATTTTCTTTCTTGCTGTATTTACCATCCTTAAAACTTCTTCATCGGTTTTATGTTCCGTCCATGATACTCTCAACATTCTTCTATACGCCCACATCTCAAAAGCGAGTCCGTATATCTCTTTAATTTCCTTTATTCTGTTACTTTTCCTTGCAGACGATGAGATTGTAACATTTGCACAAACCAAAGCTACTCTGGAAAGATTTTGGATAATCGAGTGATCTCCATGGAAACAGGGCCAAATCAATCCCAAGTTCAAAGCACCTCAAGCCCGAACATTACAGCGACGACAACTAAATTCATCGCAACAGATGGAAGTGAGACACGTGAGGAAATGACGCCCGAATTAAGAGCCGTCAAGCTAACTCTTTACGTCATTATATTTCTTGTAAGCGCTGTAGGCAATTCCCTTGTCTGCTCAGTCATTTTGCGGAGGAAAAAAATGAAAACAGTGACGAACTATTTCATATTAAACCTAGCGATTGCCGACTTGATTTTTACCTGCATTTGTATTCCCTTTGATATTCCAGTACAAGAGATGGGACACCAATGGCCCTATGGTGCGCTGTTATGCAAAGTCATATACCCTCTGCAAACTCTGTCACTTTTTGCGTCCATTTTCACGCTGACGGCTGTCAGTTTATCGCGTTATTGGGCAATAAATCACCCGCTACGGCAACAGCTTACAATTAAATGTGCCAAAAGGATAATACTTGGGATATGGATAGCGTCCCTCATTTCTGTTACGCCTTACATAAGTGTGTTAAGAAAAGACAGCGAGACAGCTGGCAAGTGCGAGGAACACTGGCCAAGTAAACATTCGAGAAAAACCTACACAGCATGGTTATTCGTGTTTGAATATCTTTTGCCACTGACCATTATCGCGGGCGCATATATAAGCATTGGTTGGGAACTTCGAAAACGCGCGAAAAATAGTAATCGCTATTTACAAGATCTCCAAGCTGAGGAGACAAAGAAGGTGGTACGCATGCTCAAAGTTGTAACACTACTGTTTGCAGTATGTGTTTTACCAAACAATGTCATGTGGCTTTGGTTGGACTTTGGTAAAGCTGAAGATGAATACAGTAGATTTTGGGATCTAGTGGCGTTTTGTAACATAATAACATTTGCGAACAGCGCGGCCAATCCTATTTGTTACAGCATCTTGAACGAAAGTTATCGCAACGCATTCAAGGATCATTTGCTTAAACTATACTATAAGATAACAGGGAACCCTTCACGAGTCCGAAAAGATTTTTCACGAATAAATGACTCGGTAAACGTAAGTAGAAAAACATACAGATCAGCCACCATGACTAGTTTGGGAAGCTTCATTATAAAGACAAGTAGATCATCGACTGTAACGAGTTCCGCTGGAAGTTTGTGTACGAAGAGAGATCCATCGCCAATAATGACTACTTCTGCTTTATGATGCAAATGAAGGCTAATGTTTAATCAATATTTAATTATAGTATCAGTAATATATTAACTGCGACTAGGACTCTGGTCTACTTATGCAGAAGAGATTTCGTGATTGCTTTGATTTAATTTGCATAGCTACATAATGCATGCCGAGATGAGCTCAAAAGAACACTAAATTGATTGAATATTTAAAGCTAATCTGAAAAATAAAATCAAAATCAAAACTAACCTGCCCGCGCGTGTTTTCTCTTCCCTCAGGTTTGGTTCGGACTATATAGGTCACTCAAGAGAGGGTTACTGGCCTCTATCGATCTTGGCTCAGTATATTGTTTGAGTGTCGTCAGTGGCCAATTATTAGGCCCTTTGCTAATAGGCGTCACGTGAGTTATCTCCTGCCAGAATTCAGAAAATTATGGGATGCAACCCTAAAAGTAACAGCGATTGAAAGTGCCTAAAACAAACAGTGTGTCTGCTAATTTTTAGATTTAAACTCTTCCCAGTACGATTTTGTGGTAGTCACTGATCCGCACGCCTTGTGGTCCTTCGTGCAGTCCAGCAATCCGCTTATCATTTGCAGTCATTTACAGAACCCATAAAATCTTAGTCGTGTATGTCAATAAGCTCTCAAAATTGGCTTAGTAGCCTAGCTTAGTGGCTTTCTCATGCCATGATACTTTTTATTTCTATCCCATAATTTTTTGCATCAGCAGCTCACGTAACTGCAAGCCGAGAGAGCGGTGAAAATCGATCGAGCCTCAGCTGTGGTGTTGGTTGAACACTGGCAATGATAATACTCGTGATACTCCAGTCAACGATTCCAGCACTGCTTCAAAATTATCTCACTTTCAATATTGGAAACATGTTTACACAGTTTGACAATAATATTGCTGTGCGATACCGTGACATGTTGAAAGGCTGTTAAAGATGGTTTGGCGTTTCCTAAGGTCGTCTCAACATTTCTTTCTCGTTCTCCGAGAAAGGAAATTGATTAGCGCCAAATCTGGAATAAATCCACTGAACTAATACTGAATTAATAATAATAATAGTAATAATAGTAATAATATAACAATGATAATAATAGAAGCCAGTAACAAGTTTTTTTCGGAGTCCTAACACGATGAAAGATGTTTTGTGTAATCATATAAGTTTTAAAAGTTTGTTTTAAAGCTCTAATTGATTATCAGTCGACCTTTGGCTTTGGTTGGTTTCTTCTACAACATTTACACGCACATCGACAGCACAACATGGTACATGCCAACAAAGAAGCAATCATAGTTAAAAGAAACATTCCGACATCTACAGAATTCTCTTCGTACCAGGGCATGTTAAAGGCTTGGATCCGAAGATGTGGTGCCCCGTTATGCCTTAACACAAACTCAATCCAGTCAGCTGTCAGCTCCAGAGGCGTGCGACGATGGTCTCTGAGTAAGCGGGAGATACCTGTTGCGTTGCTTTTGAAACTGTGGAGAGTAATCAAAGGCAATGTTTGACCATGAAGTTTGTAATTAAATTGAAAGTTTTCTTTACTGTCTATATTTTACGCCTACAACTTACTTCATAATAACAATAACTATAACGTCCATTTGGAAATAACAAATGCTTACGATGGTCGCCACAGAAACAAACAAGGAGTATAACACCAATAACTAAGTTTTTCAATTCAATGATCACAAAGTAAAGAACTCAATAATTACCTTTTAACACAACAGAAAGATGGAGAGCCCCTTCTAACAGCAACCTTAATACCACCAAAATAGCTGCCATTGATATTTGAGATCGAACTGAAAAGGTTTTGGAAGGGGGGTGGTGGTGGTGGTGGTGAGGGGGGGGGAGTAATGTAGGCCGTTATGTGTTTACCTTGCTTCAGTCATAACTCTGGAAATGGTCATGCGCAGTTCGTCCTCTTTGACACTGTTGATGTCTAACCAGAGTCCCATTCCCGCTCGCACGACCTGCTGAGCATTTTCCGGCTGATCGCTCCACATAGGAAAGCCAACAATGGGGACACCGTGGTAGGCAGCCTCGTACATACTGTTGTGTCCCACGTGAGAAAGAAACAGCTTTGTTTTGGGGTGACCAAGTACATCATTCTGTGGCATCCAGTCAACTGTCTTGATGTTTGATGGCTTAGAGCTCAACAAATTTCCTATTTCGATAGTTAAAAATACAAAAGGACGTTAGGTAGTAACGACATGTTCTTATCCTGCCCTACAAGAGTTTTCTAGAGCCTGGGGACTACAAGTCACAAGAGGAAGAGAAAAAGCGGGAACCGAGGCAAGGCATCGCATTATCTACTATCTCCAGACTCCCAGCTCTTCTTTCAAAATCCAAAATGGCGACTACACACGGAGGAAGTTCTGAGAGGTTTCTCGCCTTCTCGTCTTGATTTGCAGGCTAGTTAGCTCCAGCTTTCCAACCGGGCTTCATAAACCTCGGGTTGACTCATGATGTGCAAAATAAGTCAGGAAAACTGCTGGCTTGCTGGCTTACCGATTAGTGCCGTGCGTAATTAGATGCATGCGGATAAGGAAATCATGACCGTGAAAGTGGTGTAAACCAGCAAAAAGCTGCGAGCACTTTCCATTCCTACCTGATCTGCTGTTTTGCGGCGGATTTAGTAGACCTAGTACCTAAATCCTCTATTAAGCCCCTTTAATAGTTAATCGCCCAATGTAAGCTGGGGTATTTACGCGAAAACAAACCAGAGTTAATGAAGTTTAAATGCAACCAAATGATGCAATTTTACAAGTTACAAGTTTTACATGTTACATAGCACTCAGTCTTGAAACTGGGTGAATTTTATAACAAATATCAATAATTAACATAGTTTTTTAGTTATTAACTGAGATTTACCGACAACCGACAAAGATCGAAAATTTTAACTGACTGCCGACAAAGTGAATGAATTTTACCAGACAACCGACAAGTGGACCCCTCCAATTTATAGGAAACTCAGGATCAGTGGAATCCGGAATCTGGGAAACTTTTGCTTGTGGAATCCGGAATCCTGGGCCATGTCATCCGGAACACAGCCAAAAGAAACCAAAATCCACCAACGATTAGACTCCAGAATACAAGTTCCACTGACAAAGACTTGCACTGAGAGAGTCCAGCACCTGAAATCCGGAATCCGCGGCGTGGAATCCAGTATCCAAGACTGTCTTGGATTCCCTTTCATAGGGCGATAGATTACAGATAATATTTTTGCAGCCTCTTTTTTGTTTTTGTTTTGTAGCCTCTTAGTAAACGTGGCACTTACCTTTTAACTTCCATAAGACCTTTTGCTTCATTTCACCGAGTACCTTAGCCAACATTTTTATGGTTGGAATTGGCAAAGAAGACATCATAGAACCAAAGGAAACAATTATCACTCCATCATCGCCTGCGCTCGCCATGAACTTTTCAAGGTCGATTGGTAGAGGTTTGGCTGGTTTCGGCAGAATCGGACCTGTCACTATTATCGCTGTTGTTAGACAGATGAAACAAAAAAAAAACAAACAAACAAACAAACAAAAACTGAAGGATAGTCAAATGTAGAATACAAGCATATAAATCCGAAATAAAGAAATAAATTTCAATTGAGAACACTTCTATTCATCTTACCAATTCATTGGTCGATTATCACATAAAGAGCCTACGGCACAGGTTTTGATTTTTAATTCGTGCCGCCAAGTGACAATAAAACCGGCTGGTCTAAAATACAGGCCTGACTTTTCCACAGGTAAGAGTACAGGTCACCATGATACAGATAAATGAACAGCATTATAAGTGTCTCATAGCCCTAATCTCTTAACAAAATGCTCTGTTCATTAAGGGGGATCTGTGTGGTTTGGTAACTTATCGATGGAGCAGTGACCTGTATTCTTGATCCGTGGAATGTGACCTGTACTTGAGATCCGCCCAATAAAACTGCCCGCGACACTTGACATGGCAGAATACAAACTATAACTGTACCTTGTTGCTTGCCCCTTGTTTCACTGTATCAATCGAAAATATCAGTATAAATTGAAATTGATATCTCATTTTAAATGCCACATACATGGAGTCAGTGGCCTTGGAAAATCCAAGGCGAAGTGCGTTTGCACAAGCATAAGCTCCGCCTTTCCTAGTGCTTCTTCTGTGCTTACTTCTGGCTTGATATTGTACTCCTTTTTTATCTTGTCTACAGCTGGAAACATAAACACCCGCCCAACAAAGTTAGTCAGTAGCCACCCAGCAACGTTTATCATTCGACCCTTGAAGTCCATCTGATCGTCTAAGCCTGAGAACGGCTGAGGTGCGTATGATAACGGGTTGGGGTTCTTGAAAATTGGTAACATGCCATGCGTTAATCCTGACGGGCAGATAAGAACGAGCTTAGAATCTAGAAGATCATTTAAAACTCCGCTGCAACTGAAATGTGAATCCCCAACAATAACATCCGGCTTTAGGCCTTTGATACCTGTACAGAAAAATATCATTTAGATACGTTAGGTCAGACATCAGCCCCAGATCGATATAGCGAGATGTTTGTTAATGGGCTGGAATTGGAAGATGACTGACATCAATGATTAACCCAAAACTTGAAACAATTGAGCTGATGCAAAGCATAGCTAATAAACAACAAACACACACAAAAAAGGTATTTCGAGAACTGACGGAACCAGGGTAATGGTTTCTCCCGGGGGGAGGGGGGAGGGGGGTTACTTGGGTTAATTTTTGCTGGGTATGTGGGGCACAGAACCCATACCCCGTTCCCACTTATAGTCTAATCTGTGGCCAAATACTTAGTCACTTTTGGCGAAATGTAATTTTCGCGATCCCAACTTAGTAACGTTCTGTTTATGCATCTTCTTTATAAAGGTCATCCTGATATGAATTGACACATTGGTTAAACTTAACGATGTCGGCGAAAAATCTTCCCATTTCTAAATCCCTACATACCGAAATTTTCTGATGCCCCGAACTCCGGAATTGCAGCTTCTTGGAGTAATTCTATTTCCCTGAATTTCATCATTTTTAATTGCGGTTGTCCAATTTTTCAATGTTTAATAACGGTACCGGTGTTTCAACTACACTAATACATAATGGGTGAAAATACCAAAAGATAAGGAAATATAAAAGAAAACGAAATTTTAAAAAGTGGCAGGGTAACAGCAAGGGAAACTGAATATTCATTAGAATGGAGCCATTTACTTGTCTAAAGGAAACTCAAGGCGTTAGCGGCGACAACAGGGAATTACTTACCAACAACTTTGGCAATGAAAAAGCAAAGCGCATGTTTGAGGCCGCCAGCCGCCCTGTCAACGTTCGCCGCCGCTGAGGACCTTTCACGCCTTGTGTCTTCCTCGAGTGACGCCCCAGCGGACGACGGGGAGCGACGGAAAGCGGCTATATTCGGAAGCGGACGCAGAATCAGCAACATTAATATACTCCCATACCTTCCCACTTCACTAAGCTTCTGCAAAAGTTTGCATGGTTTTCAGCCAAGTTGTTGAGTATGTCGAAACCCGAGGCTTGATCGCTTGTGTTATTGTTGTCTTTTTCCATACTTCTGGCCAAAAACTTCTCTATAAAGTCGGGCTCATAAGGAACTTGGTAGACTTCGGTTGTAAACGCATCACTGGGCTTATAAGACTGGGTCGAAGAAAGAAGCAATGTGACCTGGATTGGAAGGGATCAAAATAGTCTCTGGATATGCATGTATGCAATGATGTATTTGTTCTTACACACATACTCACGAACTCTGTTTTTAAAATTTACTGAAAGTCATTACAGCTCCCGAAGGAGGATCAAGAGGCAAACCTCTTTCCCTTCACCCACCCACAACCAATGCCACCCTGCCATGGGCGACCATAGAGGCTTTGTTACTTTGCTTTGTTACCGTGTTTGTAAATAATAATAATAATAATAATCATAATCATAATCATAATCATAATCATAATCATAATAAAAGTAGTAGTAGTAGTAATAGTAATAGTAATAAATTGCTTTATTTGCATGACCGCATCATTTTACAGTATTACAAAAGCATGTATATGATAATCAAAAGATAAAACAAAACAGCACTAATAATAGTAGTAGTAGTAGTAGTAGTAGTAGTAGTAGCAGTAGCAGTAGCAGTAGCAGTAGCAGCAGCAGCAGCAGCAGCAGCAGCAGCAGTAGCAGTAGCAGTAGTAGTAGTAGTAGTAGTAGTAGTAGCAGCAGCAGCAGCAGCAGCAGCAGCAGCAGCAGTAGTAGTAGTAGTAGTAGTAGCATAATTAAAGTCATGATGATGATGATGATGATGATGTCAATCGTTATGATATTAAAACTAGTAAAATTGAAAAATTGACGAGCTAGCTGCTCAAGAACTACTGACGGCAGCAAGAAATGATTGATTGAGGGGTTGTCGCTGCTTAGGTTGGAAGGAAATGATCCTTTCGCTATGTCATCCCATATCGCTCACAATCACTTTTTGTGGGATATTTGAGTTTTATGTTAATTCAAGAAAAGCGCGCTCGTTGCCACAATACCCCCTTTGCGCTTCTCCCTTGTCTCCAGCTCTCGCGCTTCTCGGTTGTTCCATGATCCTCGCGAACCCTTAGGAAAGCCTGTGGAGGAAGATCATTCCGTGCTCCGTTGTGTTGCGTGACAAACGATATGCAAAATTTGTGGTTTATCAGTAATCAGGCAGGCGGCAGTTTATAGTAACCTCCTGCTCTGTTTCGAACAAATCTTCACACTGTCTGTAATGAGCCAGGGGAACTAGATTTCTTGCGTTGAGGAAGTAGACTCAAAAGACTGGCATAACTGGTGTCACCACCACCAGGACTACGAGCAGGCCTAAGGACAATATATTTAGGCGCAATTATAGAAGATAAAAGAGGATATAAATGACTGATACTGGCTGTAGTTATTTCACAGTGATTTTCACTTGATAAGATATGTTGTGTGTCGAGGGAAGAGTTTTGCAAAACACCAAATACAAGTAGCGATTCTTGAACTCAGAACGGATAGGCATTATCTGCAAGTTTTGCAAGCGATTCCTGAATACTCACTGCCACTGAACCGTTCGATTTGAACTCTGAAAGAACCGTAATCTTCCTTGCTGCCGCAGAAAGAAATTTGAATTTATCAGTTTGCATTTTCCCACTTTATATCCACGAGGCATTTTATATTTTGATGTGTTTTAACAATTTCAACCCTGCACATAAGTAAATTAAAGATCGCACTGCACTAGGGGCGCTGATAGTTGGCCTATGCATCGATATCTTTTCTTCTTGAAGCGCACGGTGAGACCATTTATGAGGCCGGAGTAAATGCACACGAGGCAATAAAAGCAAAAAATTGCAATATTATGTCTGCAACGTCGATCATGCATGTAACCTAACAAATCAAATGAACTAGTAAAAACCAGAGTAAAAACATAACATAACAGTCACAGATCGAAACAATATTATACCTGATGTCCTCGACTTCCCAGTTCTTCTCCGATAGTTCTGAACAAGATGTAATGACTGCTTCCAAACAGCGGTGCAAGGACGATGTTGGCGCCCTTAGTATGGCAAAAGAAGAGCAAGATAACGAAAAGATGGCTTGCAAAAATCAACCATGAGCGCACCATGTTGTTGTTATGGAGAGTAGCTGATATTTACAAATTTGTCACGCGAACTGTTTGACTCGTCCCCAGGCCTTCTCTATGTTAATCTCGTAATTCAGTTCTCACTCTTTTTTGCTCTGTTAACTGTGAAAATGGTGCCAAAACTTTGCAGGAAGACGGCAGAAACAACACCAGGTAAAATTATTTACACTTTACTGAAAAAAAAAAAACGTTTAATTAAGCCTAGTTATGGTGTAATACTGGAAATAATCCTCTAAAATGTTAAAATGTCACGCTTTAAAGAACTAGAAGGCGACAACTATAAAAGCAAGTTTGCCGAAATCAGTCAGAAATTAGGGACACGAAAGAGCGCGAAAACAACTGACATGAGGGTACGGAAAGAGTGGGGCCGGGATAGTTGAGAACAATCACCCGAAAAGAGAGATCCTAAAACATGCGTGCTTCTTACACTGTGACTGTCTGTCTTTTACATAAGCCGGGCTTAGTTTCAGTGTAAATTAACTTTTGCGTTCTGCTGAAGGCAAATAATACATAAATGGAGACGGTCGCTTAACTGTATGGCAGAAATAGAAGAAAACCATAGAAATAGCATTTTCACCTCCTTGTTGACGTCATTGACCGCTTTTCCCCAAGCCACGGTAAAACAGAAAAGAATTGCCCGTGCATGTTGTGGGACCGTTGTTTGATAGAGCAACTCGCTCGCTAAGCGAGAGGTACCGAGAGTCTACTTTTTACATCTTTATTCTTCTTGACTTCTACAGCTCTTACAAGCACGACTAACTCTTAACTCTAACTCTCCACTCACTTCCATTAACTAAAAATTCAAATAGTGGCGGTTTTTGTGGCCAAAGCTGGACAAGTTTGGGTTAGCTGACCGTGTGGGTAATGTTTTGGTATATTAACTGAACCTACAGGACTACGATCGGTAAGCAGCTACAAACCAATGAGAAACTAAAAACACTGGTTAACAAACCCAAACAGTAACTTCAACGAGACTTATGAACCGAGCTTAGCTCATCGCAAACACGACCACCTATGAAAAACTCACATCTGAAGATGACAGGCGAAAAAAAATTGACCTAAAATGGCATTAAGCGAATTCGCTAAGCAAAAATTCAAGTAAAAGTAAAAACAAAACATCAAAACAGGAAAACACCTGGTGTACAAAATCCAAACCGTAACCTTGACCCACTTAATGAAACAAAAACAAAACTTAAAAGATGAGACAGATCTTAAAAATAACTTTCAGAATATTTCACAACAATGTATACTGTGATTCAACGCCAATTATAACCTAGTGTCACTGAGTGGCTTCGCTTTCAATGTCTTATGCAGCTATTTACTTCAACATATTGATTCTGCATCTGAGACACTTGTGTCTTACATCAGAGGCTCAAGTAAGGGCGAAACTAGGCGTTTTATTTTCTCGAAAAACATAAAAAAACTTGTGAGGCAATCGCGGTGAATCTTTTCTTAATAAGTAAATCTGCCGAAAAAAACAAACACATATTCCTCTGATAGTGATTTTCCTTCTCCTTATAGTTGATATATAGCAGCAGGGTAATTTTAAATGAAACGGAACCACGGGAGAATCCAGGATTTTTCTTCAATAAGAGGGTGTGCACCACCAGGAGCCGATTACTCAGCTCCTCGGCTCCTGGCACCACTGAGGAATGGAGTAACTGACTGGTAATTAACGCAAACAAATTTTAAAAGGGAATATGACAAAGAAGGCTTTTGATTAGGCTATAACATAATATGAACTACTGAAAATACATATCACACATATCTGCATATTTTGTAGAATACCAGTTGTCAGGATCCCTCTCAATGGGGAGGGGAGGGGGTACACACCCCCTGTACTCTCCCCCTAGATCCACTCCTGAGAACCATTACGTAACTTATAAAAAGGTTTTTCTTTGGTTCCAATGTTTTTTTAGAGTTTTAAAACAAAAAATCGTAACTTAGCTCCTTTAAGGACGCCGACGCCTCTACACGCCGAGTACGTTGTACGGTCCATTTAAATGACGGTCTCTTTAGCGTCAATAACAAAGATCTCAGCATAATCTACAGTTTGACTTTTTGCACCGAGCCGTTCAGACGACGTCAGGCTCTTTAATCGTGTTCTGGTATAATATATTGTGCTCTCTGCCATGCTTTGGAATATCTTTGGATCGCAGGTAACGTACAACTTGAACTCTTCTCTAAAGTTCTCGTGGCAAATTGTGTACGCTATCGGATTAGCTGCACTGTTTGCAAATAAGACGATGTTAGTGAAGGCTACCACGTCCCAGAAGTGAGGATAGGCTTCTCCATCGCCGAAATCAAGCCAAAGCCACATGACATTGTTAGGTAGTACGCAAATTGCGAAAAGGAGAGTGACTACAATGAGCATGCGCACAACTTTTCTGGCCTCGTTTTGATGTGCCTGGTACAACGCCGCATTAACTGCCAAGGCGTTCTTGACGTTTGCGCAATGCCTTAATTCCAGTCCAATTGTGAGATATGCTATTGTTATTACGATTAAAGGCAAAACGTACTGTAAAGCAAACAGTGACGCCGTGTAAGCTTTCCTATAGCTCTTCCCAGGCCAGGACTCGACGCATTCCATGCTTTCTTCGTCGAGACGTAAAACCAGCACATATGGCACAGTTAGAATAACACAGATGACCCATATAAACGCTATCACCGCGGCGGCATTCTTTTTCCTCATTTGCTTGCTAAGTGGGTGCACAATAGCCCAAAATCTATTGAGACTTACAGCCGTCAGCGTAAATATAGAAGCGAACATAGCCACTGTTTGAAGAGGGTAAATCAGCTTACATGCAAACCATCCATAAGGCCATTTGTAATTGTTCTCTTGTACTGGAATATCGAACGGGATACAGATACAAGTGATGGCGAGATCGGAAATCGCTAGATTCAAGACGAACAGATTTGTGACAGTTCTCATTCTCCGACGCCTAGTTATCACCACGCAAACCAACGAATTACCGATGACACTAATGAGGAAGATTACAGCGTAGAGCGTAAGCTTGATAGCTTTAAAGGCAGCCGATTCACCATCAGATACTTCTGTAGTATTATTCCCACCTTGTGGCGGAAACACAGAACTGTTGCTTGGCAAAGACGCGTTAGATTCCATATCAGTTTGTGCCAAAAAAATATCCCTTTGTCTACTTTAAACCCTCAGCACTAAAATCTCGAGGAAGGTGTTCACGTTTCACCACCCAGTGCTGGCAATGGCCAAGTTTCAGCTGCTTGATTTTCAGTCGTTCAAAAGCGCTCCTTTTGTCTGTGACAAGACAACCTCGTCTAAGACTGTGGAAGAGGTTGATGACACCTGCATTTACCAAAGCAAAAACAAAATATAAGAATAAAAAGCGTCCAGAAGATTACTAAACACTGGATATCAGCAGGCATGCTGATGGCTCGTTTCAAACTAAATGTTATTTCTCCGTGTGAGACAACCAAATTAAAAAATGTTTCAATGAGATTTTCTCAGGGCCTATGAATAATAAATGGCCACTGGAAGACAAAAAGAGAAACAAGAGAATAGTATAAAATGTAAAACTAATTATCAACGTGACATGAGAAATTGAGTTTATCCTGACCAATTATAATGAGGAATAAGGGGGAAATAAGAGATTATAACGGCGGAATTACTCTTCCATTAATTAATATGTCTTCATAAAATTCTAGCTCACCACTAATTTATAATTCATTAGAATAACTGCTTGCAGGTCTACTTTTTAAATTTTACGACCAAGAATTAAGTCATTTTTTATTCCTTTTTTTCTTTTTTAATTTACTTGTCAAAGCCTGCCATTATAACGGATTAATTACAACAAGATGCAAAGAAACCAAAAATAAAGATTTTCATCGTGATTATTATTTGTTATTATCTTGTAATGCAGATATCAGTAGAAATATGAAGAATGTTTAATTTGTCGCCCACGACATTTTCGAACCTTTTAAATTTTCATTTATCATTTTTTTTTATAGTTGTTTATGGTGGTGGATAATTTCTTTCGGTTTGATAACTTTCATTGACACTTTGCTTTAAATACAAATTATTATTATTGTTATTATTATTATTATTATTATCATTATCAATACCATTATGATCGTTATTATTATTATTATAATTATTATTATTATTATACTATCATTATTATCATTGTATAGAGGTTCGGTTTGGTTGAGCAGTTTGAGCTGAGATGCGACTAGCGTGAAGTCTTTCCTCTTTGAACTCTTGCTGTGGTGATATTATTTTAGAATTTTGAACTACAATTAATCATGTATGCACGACATTCAAAGAAAGCAGGTACTTGTTTTACTTCGTATTATACAAAGTTATTAAAATTTCTACTGGCTTTCGGATAAGTTATTTTTTAATACTGCCTGATGATTCTTTTACCGTGGGTAAATAAAGTTGTTGTTGTTCGTCACATGTTGTTGTTGTTGTTGCTACGCTCGCGCTCCAGTGTAGGTGATAGTTATTATTTAAGTATATGTTGCTTTCACTTCTAGAATTGTTAAAACGATTTTGTCTTGGAGTGCCAAAGATATGTAATGTAATGAAAGTAATTAAAATTGAACCAGCGACTGCTTACACGTTGACACAAATTCCAACGGAGCAACAGATGAAGCAAATTTAATGATTCAAAATTTCAAATAAAATGAAGAAAATCGCGTCACAGCAGGAGCCCGACCACATTTCTCAGAATTCGACAGTAAGAATAAAGATTCACCTTTGTAAAGTTTAGCATTTCCCGCGGATCTAACAAGTGCCCCACCCTTCTGTACTAATTTACCTCTCAATGAAAAATCAACACGGTCAGAAGACTCTCGGAAGCTCTTTGGAAACAGCACTTATGGGTACATATAAGTGTTGAAGTAAACTTTGACTGCAGGGGGGTGAGAGTCACCATAGATGGAACCTGTCGAAGAGGGAAAAAAACAAGAGTTTTAATTCAAAAACACGAAGAAGAAGAAGAAGAAGAAGAAGAAGAAGAAGAAGAAGAAGAAG